TGTATACATATAGCTAGAAAAGAAATTCTCTGTGTAGATCTGAAAATGTATTGCTCCAACTTCATACATGCCTACAATATAAACATAACCATCAAAATTGTATTAATTTTATCACAGTTGGACTACTCATGTTTTCTATGAAATCACTAGTATCCATATTTTCCACTATTTGCATATGAGCTATTAATATAATTAAAGTCTTCCTTTTCTTACAAATTATACTAGGAAATTTCGTTTGTATTATATGTATTAGCTACATCTGCTATTAATATTTTCAATATTGTTATTTTATGATGTCATCATTAATAAGATAGAAATTATTTCCTCTCAAATAAGATTCTGTTAGTTTGTTTGTAAGTTGTTTCTCATTTATTTGTTCTTATTTTGGTTTAGCAAGAAGACTATTAAAGGCTTAGACTTATTATTAACACATGTTAAATGAGTTCTTAAAGGCATTATAGCCCACTCCCTGACTTGTACAATCTGATATTATCCATCATTATGCTTTAAAAGTGAACACTGTGAAAACTATTTTTACAAGTTGAGCACAGTACCATATATAAATGACGCAATGCTTGCTTAAAAGGTAAAGCTTACATCTGTCTTACAGCTGCATCTTCTGTGTTTAACTCCAGGTTTCCTTTTTTACTTAAACGATGTTTGCCTTCTCAGCTGTGCATCTTTCTGATTTGTACGACATAGAAATTCTTCCAATGGGAAATAGGTTCTCTTCTGAGTAAGATAAACATATCTTTTTCTGACACTCTTGTGTATATAATATATATTGTAATATTTTAGTCTAGAAAATACCATCAAATTTTTAAAAAATGGCATCATAAAATGCCAAAAATGTCCACATGAATACATTACTGACCACTTACCCAAGTGACCACAAATATTCCTGAAAGATTCCTTAGCAAAATTCCAAAGCCTTTGAACAATCATCAAAATCTACTCCCAAGTGCATTTTTCGAGCTGTGAAAGTACTAGCATTATAAACAAAACAGCATAAACAACACAAAACAAATGAATGAGGTAACTTTAATGCTGGGAAATAACCAAACGAAAGTTGGCTTATTTTTTAATTATCCTGACTATGAAGGCTGATCAGATGTGTCACCTGATCTTGAAGAGAACTCGTTGCAAATACTTATACTATTTTCACCAAGTGCAAGAAGTTAGCTTTTGACTACATATTTATTTAAGGAAACCTTATACAAAAATAATATTGTTTCTATAAAACCCTGAAGTGAATTCTTTTTACTCCAAGTGTTGTGGCTGGATTTGCTTTCGGTTTAAACAGAAGGAAGTCAATCATTTTGAAAGGATTATTTTTCTGCAGCACAAGTTAATTTTAACAGCAACAACGCTTTCCACTTCAAGATCTGTCTGTCCCTTAGCTGGATGATCAAATGCTCACAAACCAAAAACAACTAAAATTTCCAGTCAATGACTTTGGTAAGCAAAACCAGGAATAGACTATTAAAATTAGTTCATGCACTAAAGTCCAGTGAGAGTGAAATTATCAACTTCAGATTTTGTTTCTTTCCTTTTTTCTCTGTTAATTTGAGGTATAATGTTAATATCATACATTCTCACTTCTCAGAACACTAGGCAGCACAGATAAGAGGCTCATGACAAAGCAGCAACTATTGACTATAAGCATTGCAGAACTGGGGCCTGATTTCTCAAAAATTCAGCTGTTTCTCTTCTTCAGGTGGGTTAATATTCTATAAAGATATTTTATATAGTATTGTTTTGATAAATTCATTATTGTTCTGGTAGGTTTTAGTTATTAATATTCTAGTATGCATAATGTTTAAAAGTCCCTCATGGTCAATTATGGAGTGTTTATTCTAAGAAGGCAGCAGTTTCTTGGAATCCATTGTTTTACAATTTATGAGTGTGTTTGGAAATCTATGTTTTAGACCTCCTTTGCCTCAGATGCCATATACTAAGCATGTATGAAGTAGGCTCTGAATTGTACAGAGTCACCTTTATTTGATAACACTGTCAATTTTACAGATGTCATGTTAAGGCTTTATGTGCATTGGTGGGGAAGAGACAGTTGACAAAGGATCCTTCAGGAATATGTCCACTATGGCTTGTTTGTGTGCAGCTCTTGACACAGAGTATAATCTAATTTGTGAAGATGTTTAGAGAAGCTGCAAGAACATTCTGGTCTATGCTCCAATTGTTAGCAACTCCTCTTCTCAGGACCTGTTAAACTTATTGTCCACTAAATTGAGTAACTGATGAAAGAATAGAGTGAGTGAACCACCAACAACTGATTTCACCACTCTGTCAGTGTGCCGGAGTGTGTGTGTCCTGTGGAAAGCGTATGTATGACCCTTGTTTAAATGTATCAGTTTATAGGATGCCTGTGCTCTCTCATGGACTCATAAGCTGAACATAAGTCTCGCACCACATATCCCTGTATCTTCTTTTCCAGAGACTCCTAGTCTTGGCAAGTTGCTCTCAGTAAGCAAAAGCTGTGACATAGTGGCTCGCCCTGCACAATTCCTTATGTAACAGATGAACATGAACAAGAGAACATTTATACTGAAACACTCATGAATTTTCAGCACATCTGTTGTTACTCTCCCCAAAGGATGCCTTCAGTTAGATCTATTTTTCCAGACATTATTTTCTGTTTTGCCAATCCACACAGTACCTTGATCTCACACGAAACCAATCAAGTTGCCTTTTATAACCTGTCTGCACCTGCTTCTGCAGGTGTGCAGAGAGAGGACACTTTCTGGGCAGAAGGAAAGAACTATCTGGGACTCATTGAATCAGTCATTTCCCCCTAGCAATCCAGCAGGCTGCTTTTAGGTGTCTTTCATGAAGTCCATCAGTGGGACTTTCTCTTCCCTATCAGCATGGCTGCAGTGACAGCAAGAGTGGCTGTTGTGATGTTTTTCTGGTGGGTTACTCAAGAGAACAGCTCTTTTAAAATAACTTCTAAAATTATTTTAGTCATAATATTTTGACTTTATAGATTTTACCAACTTAATACCCTATGTGATTTTTATGTATTGCTTTAATGAAAATCTTTGTCACTTCTGTTTTATCTTATAATACTCTGTGTGTTTGATTTTTGTTGTGTGTGTGCTTTCAGTGGTAACAGTAATAGTTATGTAGGGCTGGTTTTACTTGATCTCTATTCAATGTATTCATCCATGTCAGGTTCAAACAAAACCCACATGTACAGTAGCTCACAGTCCCCGCTGTCCAGAGGCTTGGCATGGTGTCCATGTGCCTCTGCCCTCTAGCTTACGCCAGCAGGATAGTATGTTTTTCTGGAGCCTGAATCATTATTCTACTGCCTTTAAAATATTGAAACATTTTGTAGCTATGCAGTCAACATTAACAACTTGACAAGTTTTTTGTTTTGTTTTGTTTTGTTTTTAAGGCCAAGGAAAATTTTGGAATTTGTGCTTAGAAAAATCCTCCAATATTTGGGGTGGCCCAATGTGCCTCATTGGGTTCTAGAGTATGGTTACATTTGCACCTGAGAAATGGAATGGTAGCTTTCTTGGGGGAGAGTAGATATCCCTTGGTATTCACAGAGCTATAGCTGTGGTTGCCATTTAATATCTGCCAGCCAAATTCAGCCCCAGTCAAGTACCAGTCAATTAGTGTGAAAAATTAAAAATTCAGGTCTAAGTTTTTTTTGGTTCACATGCAGCTCATGGACACAAAATGTCACAACACACATAAATATTTTTATATCAGAGAAAGTTCTACTGAACAGCAAAAAAGAGACCCCAAAACTATGCAATTTCCTAGTTCCCCACTAAAACAAATCAATCCCAAAACTTGTAGTAGAGTAGTGAATCGATATTTTCAGCAAGAAAATTATTCATAAATCTTATTAAATGTTTTATTAAAATATACATATACAGTTTGGATTTTGAATTGTTAACAATAGTTTTTGATTAGCAAATTTACTCTTTGTTATGATCCTATAGCAAGTCTTTATATCACCAGCCCCCACATAACGACACTGAAACTTATTAATTATGAAAGCTCAGCCTTTAGCTTAGATTTGTCTCAACTAGCTCTTCTAACTTAGTAATTCTTTCACACTAATCTTCATTCTGCCACATGGTTTTACCTGTCTTCCATCTTCCACCTCCTATTTCCTCTCTGTGTCTATCTGGAGACTCTTCTCTGTCACCAGGATTCCTTCCAAACCTCTTCCTGCCTAGTCACTGGCCATTCATTTCTTCATTAAAACCAATCACAGTGACACATCTTCTCGATATACAACTACCCTACAACATGATCCTTGGATTATGAAGTTTCTTCCCAATACTCTTTTATTGAAGATGTGGATCCACAGCTGCTGGATCTAACATTGGAGGCTGTTTGGGTCACCAGGGCTTGGATATAACATGCAAATTGATTCATGGATTAGTTCTTAATTTGATGATGTTCTGGGGAGGTGTCTGAACTAGGGGACGATCTGAGTGTGTTCTTGGAAGTGAGTATTTTGACATTTCTTCTTTCATTTTCAAGTTAACTTTACAGCCACTGTTATGTGTTTATTCTTCTTTTCGAGTCCTCTCTCAAGTCCACTCTCTTACACCTTTCCACAGGCCGAAGGCCAATGGATCCAGGCCAATCATGGAATACAGCTCTGAGCCAAACGAACCTTTCCTCCTGGAAGTTACTTATAGCAGGTAACGTGTCCCAATAGTAATAAAAAAAAAGAAAAGAAAAACAAACAAATGAAAACCCCATGAAATGGTCACTAAGAAGTGGAGTCATTGCTTGGACTCCTTCTGACAATGTAATTTGGAAGCCTTTGGGAGAGCTTTGCAGCTAGTGTATGGAGCAGCATGGAAATGCAGATCTGAGAATCCCTAGAAGGCTAAGCAGAACTTCCTGGGAGATTTTGGTGGAATCTTGGAAGACCATCATGCCAACAGGAATGTAAGATTGTGCTTATGAAATTTCCAGTAAAAATTAGGGCTATTAGTAATGGATGAGAAATACTTACCTGGCATGGGAGGTACCATGTTCATGAAGGGGGGTTTTCCTAGGGCAAAGCTTACTCATTGAATTCCAGATATGCTGCCCCCTGTGATTTCCGCACATGTGGAAATCGAACTCCATCATTTTTGGTAATTAAGAACTGTGTTCATAATCTCCCTTAAAAGCCAAAGAAGGATGAATAAGAAACTCTGCAATTTATTTCTGCTAAATTCCTGTAAATGTTGTTCATACCACGATTGTAAATGTGATATACTCAGTTATCTGAAGGTGGAAAATGCAGTGTAGCCAATATGACCACTGTAGCTTTCATATACATAAGTGTCCCTGGCCCCAGTTATAGTGGGAACGGTCCTCTTCCTGCGGAAGAGTAGGGAAACTTGCATTTTGGCTAAAAATGGATCACTGTGCTTAATAATGGAATTACTATTGAGGAGTCTAGAGAAGTTGCCAGAGAGCTTTTCAGAAATTGCTAACAGGTCACCCACCAGAAACTTTAGACTTCTACTGTGCAAACTCATTCAAAAAACCTTTTCAAGAGACAACAACTCGGATGGGGCACTCCTCTTAAAAGAGCACATGACACAAGTTTCTATTCATACCCAATTGTGGGGATCCAGAAACTGATATGCCTATGGTTGCATAAGCAGCAGGATATTTTGGTGTGATCTGTGCAGTGCTGATTCGATTTGGGCACAGAATGGATGATACAGGTTTAAGGATGTCTCCATGCACATTCCAAATTGAAGCATGGACACAGAATACCTGCTGAGAAAGGGTGCAAGCAGCCAACAGAGCTAGGTCAGAAAAGAGGTCTTGTGGGTGCCACCCAATGAAGCTTTTGAGACTGAGCTACCCAAGCACTTTTGGGTTTACCTTGAGATTGCCATGCTAGAAAAATAGCTACCAGAATTTTATGTCCTCCTTTTCCCCATTTCTTCTTTCTGCATCACATTTCCCCTTTCAGAATGCTGACACTCACCTTGTATTATTGGATATGTGGATATGTGAAGAATTTTATTTGTTTTTTTTTTTATTCTGCAGAGGCTTTAGCTAAGAGTACCTATATTAGTCAGGGTTTTCACGCACACACACACACACACACACACACACACACACACACACAATATTATAGTTGGCTATTGGCTGTGGTCCATCTAGTCCAACAAGGCTGTCTACCAATAGAATATCCAAGAATCCAGTTGTCTCGCAGCCCATGAGGCTAGATGTCTCAGTTAGTTAACAGTATACACCAGAATACTGAAAAAGTACACTCTAATGCCAGAGAAAGAATAGATTGCCAGTGATAGTGAGGGCAAACAGAAAAATAGAGAACAGTTCCTTCTTCCATGTCCTTTACATATGTGTGGCCCAGTGTTCTGGGCTGGATTTTCCCACCTCAAAAGATCCAGAGTAGAAGTGAGTCTTTCCATTTGAATTAATTTAATTAAGAAGTCCCTCACAACTGTAACAAACCAATGGGTTTCAGTTAATTCCATATGTAATCAAGTTGACAACTAAGAATAGCCTTCAAACACAAACTATCTCCTGTTGTTGGATAGAGAAGTGTTCTGAGATACAGAGAAATGTCGAAATACAGATTCCAAAATGGACTGTGACTGTAAAATGACTCTGTTACCAGTGTCTTGTGAATCTCTGATCAAACAACTTGAAGTCTCCAAACTTTATTTCTTTACCTAGAAAGCATAAATGCAAATGATACTTAGGATTGCTATAAACCTAATGAACTATTGATGTGAAAATGTTCCTGTCTCTGGTAAAAAATGGTCCCTCTATGTTCAGTAATGACAATTATTTCAATAATAATTGAAGATTCATGAGGCAAATTCCAAAATACCATCATACATTATTTCAATTAATTCTCAATTATTTTTTTCTTATTTCATCTAGTAATTAGATCTCAAGAGAACTTTAATAAGTTTCAAAGTCTGTAGGGTGAGAAATTTGTTTCCACAATGTTCATTTGACTTATTGCTAGTTTACTATTAACTTAAAGATTTTTATCAATATAAACATAAAAGTTAAAGACCATTAGTTGAGAAACTGTTGTCAAGTGGACCAATTTCACTCAATAAATCTAGTCAATAGAGCATCTCAATTGTGTTTTGACAAAGAAACAAAATCATTTTCCTCCAGCTGGGCATTCCTGAAGGAGTTCCTATGAACTGTTTCAGATGAAACAAGAGGAGTTAATCTATGCATTTCACCTTAATTTTACATCATATGATAGTTACAGGAAAAGATTTTCTGTACTCTCATAAACTACTGAGTGAAGAGATTAAACACGGGAGGCTACTGCAATGTAAGGAGAGATATGCATGACACTGTAGGGGATATAAATAATATCAGTTTCACACAGCATTAAGGAATTGGGACTCGGCTCTATGGAGCCAGTGTAAGTACATACCCTCAATTTAGGTAAGCAACATTCCTTCATTTTCTGTACTTGCCAGTATTTTAGAAACTAGACTCTAAGAAATGACATTTTGCAGATCTTTTTACCCTCATACTTCTGGTATAAATTCTGCCATGAAAAACACTAAGGTGAAATTCGAATAATTTGTCTCCTAATATCAGACAGTGAACAGGAAAACCCACCTTCAATGTAAAAGGACACAATGGCACACGAATACAGACTGCAGTTCTGCTTACTAGACACAGCAGACAGTGTCCCACAGTTTTCTCTGTACTTCTTCTTTTGAGGGATGTAAGTTTTCCTTCACTCCACCCAACAGGTCTGTGCACTGATCTTCTCACTGCTGGAAACACCCAAGAAGATTTATGTTTTCCTAACTTAACTGATAATAATAGAGGTAAGATGGAGCAAGAACAAAAGTCCAAAATTTCCTACACAAAAGTGGAGCTTGGTTTGTGAAAACAGATCCTTTCAGATCCTGTGTCAGTTAGATCAGGGAAAGCAGAGCGCTATGTGTATGCGTGTGCTTACATGTGTGTCAGTGCAAGTGCATGTGTGTGCTTACATGTGTGTGAGTGCAAGTACATGTGTGTACATGTGGAGGTAAGATGTTGATGGTGGATGTCTTCAGTGATGACCCTCTCCATTTTCTCCCCTTGCACTACACTCTCTTGTTCATCCTGGAGCTGGCTAACTTGCTTATCTCTGTCTCCAGAGTACTGGGACTAGAGGGAGGTTACCATTTCAGCGTGATGTAGTTGTTGTTACGGTTTTCAGTTCAGTAATGTTTAATATGTAAAATCTCTGGTCATGACTTTTAGACTTCTTTTAGAGTAATTGTTTCAATAGCATTAGGACGTCTTTAGTTTTATCTTTAAAACAGCAAGCCTCATCATATCTATAATGATGGCTGAAAACCTAAATAAAATAAGAAGATTACAGTGAGGTAAAAATTAAATTAATGTATGTAATTTAGCTCAGTGATTTTCATATTTCCTTCTATCTTTCTTTTTTTTCATTTTTTTCTCTTTTTCATGAATTACACAATTTTTTTGCTTGCTTGTTTTATGACTGGATCTCTCTTTTTCATCTTGGATGTCTCAGAACTGTAGATCAGGCTGGCTTCAAACTCACAGAGATCTACCTGCCTCTGCTTCTGGAGTGCTGGGACTGGTTAAAGGCATGCTCCATCAAACCCTGCCAGATCACTGAATTTAAAAACCAAGGTATGAATGTAATGTGTCGTGCTATCTTTCCTAAAGAGATTATGACCCCAAAGTATGTGCATATAATAATTATATAATTATAATTAAAAGTATCAATCAAACATTAGCAGACTGCTTATTTATACAGTTAATATAAACAGTTATATAATTATAAAACCTTAAACTTCTAAATATATAAAAGTAATTATTAGATGATATTTACCATGGCATTATTCAAACTGAGCAAAGTAATTTTAGAATTCCTGCTTTATTATAAAAGATTGTGAATAATAATGTGCACTTGATATTTGAATTGAATAATGAAATTGAAATAAATATGTTTGAGAATAAATAATGAAAGATTAAAAGAAATTAAATCTTTTAAATGGTTCAAATGTCAAATCAGATTCAAGAACCCTTAGCTTATTTAACAAAATAAAGGGAAAAAATGAAAACAAGGATAGCATAGCAAGTCAATTAAGCAACAGAAAAATATCATTCTGTATCTTTGTACTTGGACTCTAAGTACCCCATAATTTCTGAAAATTAACTTTTGGTCCCCATAGAAGTGATATGTAGAAGGGACAAGACCATTAAAATGTTGAGCTTACTGGGAGCTTTATAAGTCATGGAGAGCATGGGAAAGGGGGATAGTGGGGACACTCATCCCTTCCTTTTAAGTACCTTGTCCATGAAGTGAGTAGGGTGGCCCTGATAAATGCTCCTGTGTGGTGTGCTGCCTTGTCAAAGGACCGAACAACAAGGTCAACCAATAACAGACTAAAATCTCCAAAGGCAAGAGCTAAAATAACCAACTCCTTGGGTATATTAATTATCTCAACCTTTTGTTGTTTTTATAGAAAGCTGATTATCACAGATCTTAATAATATTTTTCTTAGGCAGAACCCAAGTTTTCTTAGATTAAACACAAAGGAATGAAATACAAAATCAAACTTAATTTCTAAATGCCATCAGGTGGCATTATTTGTTTCCATAATAGCAATATTGTGATAGACTACAACAGCCTAATGATTGTATGCACAACCGATAAATTGACAAATTAAAAGCCTTTGCAAGGCACTTTGTTATATTTATGTCATTAACCAACAGATCAAATAGACAAAAACAATCAAATGTGTCAATAAAAAATTGAGATCTCTGTACTAACAGGTAGCTATATGATGTTTCAAAACACAGTCTTCATACTTTACAAAGCATCAATAAATTATTGATAGCCTATTTGCAGATTCATCCAATTAACAGTGATCCATTCATTTGAGAAGTGTTTACTCAGTATTTTTTGTGTGCTACACGCTGTTCTCTCCCTGAAGATCCTGGACTGAATGTAGGAGGGCATAGAAAATACCTTCATAAAACATTTGGGAAATAAAATCTAATTTACATTTCAAAATGATTAATCTATTAAAGTACAAACTGTCATAAAAGTTAATTTAACTTCTAAAAACTCCAGAAAAAGTTCTTACTGTTGTTTATGTAAGATAAAAGGGCAGAGAATTA